CCAGAAAGAAGTGTCGTTCCTAGGCCATGTCGTTGGAGGAGGCAAGCTCTAGATGAACAAGGACAAGATTCGAGCAATTGACGAGTGGAAGCCACCCACCAAGGTGACCGAACTGCGAGCATTCTTGGGATTAGCCAACTATTACCGATGATTCGTAAAGGGCTATTCCAAGATTGCCACACCTTTGACCGAGTTGCTCAAGAAGGATAAGGTGTGGGAATGGAGCACGAAATGCCAAGACGCATTCGAAAAGATCAAGGAGGCCATGGTGAGAGAGCCCATATTGGTACTGCCAGACTATACCAAGCCTTTCGTAGTTTTCACCAATGCGTCCGATGTTACTATTGGTGGAGTCCTCATACAAGAGGGACATCCGGTTGTATACGAGAGTCGGAAGCTCAATGAGACCGAGATGAGGTACTCGGTTCATGAAAAGGAGATGACCGCGGTTGTGCATTGTTTACGCACATGGCGACATTACTTGCTAGGGTCCAAGTTCGTGGCGTTCACAGACAATGTTGCCAACAGTTACTTCCTCACCCAAAAGAAGCTTTCTCCCAAACAAGCTCGTTGGCAAGAGTTTCTTGTCGAGTTTGACTTTTCCATGTAGTACAAGCCAGGGAAGATGAACTGTGTTGCAGATGGCTTAAGCTGAAGGTACGCTATCGAGACTGTGAAAGGTACCCTACTCGAAAAGATCAAAGAAGGGTTGCCCCATGATCCTGCAGCCGAGCGAATTATTGAGGGAGCCAAGGAAGGACAAACCAGAGAGTTTTGGCTCGAGGGGGAACTACTGTATTATCAAGGAAATCGACTCTTTGTACCTCGATATGGGAAGTTACGCAAGGAGCTCATGAAGGAATGCCATGATTCCAAGTGGGCGGGACATCTGGGAGTTGATCAGACATTGGCATTACTCTCGGAGCAATACTATTGGCCGCACATGGCTGAAGATATGCAGGCCTACGTGAAGACTTGTCTTGTGTGCCAACAATACAAAATCGAGGCAAAGAAACCGGCGGGACTGCTACAACCTTTGCCCATTCTTGAGCGCCCATGAGAGAGTATTTCCATGGATTTTATCATTGGTTTGCCCAAAACTGATGGGCTTTCAAGTATAATGGTTGTGGTTGACAGGTTTTCAAAGTATGCGACGTTCATACCGGCATCTAAAGTCTGTCCAGCCGTGGAGGCAGCTCGACTTTTCCTCAAGCATGTGGTGAAGTATTGGGGAATGCCAAAAACCATCATTAGTGACTGAGACACGCGGTTCACATGCAGGTTCTGGACGAAGTTGTTCAAACTGATGGGATCGAGCTTGAACTTTTCCACCGCAGTTCATCCACAAATCAATGGGCAAACTGAGAGAGTGAATGCTCTATTAGAGATCTATCTGAGGCACTACGTGAGTTCCAACCAACGAGACTGGCCAAAGTTGTTGGATGTGGCCCAATTTTCCTATAACTTGCAACGGAGCGAGGCGACAAACCAAAGTCCATTCGAGATCATGACTGGGAAACAACCATTGACACCCAACACGGTTGTTACCAAGTATGAAGGGCCCAATCCATCAGCACACAATGTTGCCAATGAGTGGCACGAGCAACACGACTTAGCCCGAGCTTGTTTGCACAAGGCGGGAAAACGGACCAAGAAGTGGGCTGACCGAAAGCGGAGGGACGTGAACTTTGAAGTTAGCGACCTTGTCCTTGCAAAGTTGGCCAATGTCTTACGCCATGCGGATGTGCACAAGGGGCTTGTGTGAAGATACGAGGGCCCTTTCCGAGTCGTGAAGCGGGTAGGCACCATGGCCTACAAATTAGAGTTGCCTTCAATCATCCGAGCGTATCCCGTTATCCATGTTAGCTTGATCAAGCCGTACCATCAAGATATCGAGTATCCAGATCGAGGCAAGTCACACCGAGCGCCAGTCGGAGTAGCGGTCTCATATGACAAGGAGATCCAGGACATACAAGCGGAGAGAGTTATTCAACGGCCAGGACACCGCCCAAGGCATGAGTATTTTGTCCTATGGAAGGGACAACCCGAGTGCGAAGGGAGTTGGGAACATGCCGAGGGACTTTGGCAATTCAAAAATAGAATAGACCAATATCATGCCAAACGAGTGACGAGGGCGTCACCGGAACTAGTGGGGGAGAATGTCACGGACCAAAGCCCACCACCGAGGTTAGCCCATGAGAAGTAGCCCAAATAGGGGTTTGGACCTTCTAGAAGCCACAAAGACTTTGGTGGCATTTAAATTTGTATAGATAATGCCCACTTATTTTTGGTAGGTAGGATTCAATCTAGACCGTCAATGTAATTCGATCTTAGCCGTTCATTGAAGGAAGCTTTAACTATAAATAGAGGCCTCCCCTCCTCATTTGTACTCACTCCTTCACTTTGAGAAATCATAAGAGCATTCTTCTCTCAAAGCTTTCTTATATTCCTCTTTGTGCTAGTTCTCTTGTCTACCTTCCATCGAGATTCTAAGCATCCTTGCTTGGGATATTTTCAGGCTTACTTAGCCGCAATCACTGAGAAGGCGACTAAGGCCGCACGTTCCGAGACGTCGAAGTTCTAAGGGCGTGACAGTTGTCTTCTCTACTATATGTTGAACAACAAGCTGGCCGGGGTATCCGAACATGTCGTATTGGTCCTCGAGTAAGCCACTTATTCTTTGTGGGTGATTGCCTTATTTTCCTTCGCTTATGTGCTACAGAATTTGTGAGACTTCGAGAATTGTTAAATTATATGAACTTTCATCAGGACAAAAAAGTGGATTATTCCAAATCTAGCATCTATTTCAGTCCTTCTGCCTCCTTGGAGTTGTGTTCATCGTTGTGTCTTAATGTGGGAATTGATAGTGTATCCGAGCCTCAACTTTATTTGGGTATGGCTCTTGAAATTGGTCGAAACAGAACTGAAGCTTTTAGTTTCCTTAGTGATAAAGTTACATCATGGGTTAAAGGATGGACAAAAAACTTGTTATCATATGAGGGACGTGCTTCCGTTTGTCAAGCCATACCGACGTATGTGATGAGTTGTTTTCTTTTGCCGGATGGTGTCATACAGGATAAAACAGTCGTACCTCGCTCGTATTGGTGGTCCGGGGATCTGGCGGACAAAGGTTGGCCTCTTGTGGCATGTGATAAAATTTGCCAACCTAAACAGGTGGGAGGTCTGGGTTTGCTAAATCTCCATTAGTTTAATCTTGCTATGTTTGGTAAGCAGGTTTAGAGATGTCTTCGCAATCCGATTAGCTTGGTTTCTCGGGTTCTTGAAGCAAAATACAATCCTTCGAGTACCATTTTAACATCATCTCTGGGTTCTTAGCCTTCATTTATTTGGAGGTGCTTATATACAGTAATGCAAACTTTCAAGACTGGTTACTTCTACCAGGTTGGTATCGATAGCTCCATTTTTGTGCATGAAGATCAATTTTTTTTTTTGGGGAGAGGGGGACACCCAGTGCGTTTAAATTCAAATTATGTAGACAGTCCTACATCCCCTCTTAGATTAGGTGAATTTATGATCCCACGGGAGGCTCGGTGGGATATACATCTGGTAAGGCAGGTTTTCAGTATAGTTGATGCAAATGCCATTCTCAGTTGTCCCATTGCTCCAATTAATTCTAATACTATTCTATGGTCTGGGCACTCCGACGACTCTTATTCAGTCCGATCAGGTTATGCATGGTTATCTCGGCAACATCGTCCTCCTACACAAGTGTCCCGATTATGGCTTGCGTTATCCTATCTACCCACACTTCCTCGGGTGAGGCTATTCGGATGGCAGCCCATAAATCACTGCCAGTTGGTCGTCGTCTTTATTTGACAGGGGTCTCCGATGGTCATTATAGTCTCTGTGGTGCTTTACAGGGATTGCCTGGAAGTTCAACCTATTTTTCTGACAGCGGGCCTTCATTTGTGACTTCAGGGTACTATAATTCATGTGGTTCTTGGTTAGAATCTTTGTTGGAGCTTCTCACAACGCAGCATTTTATCTCAGTTATGGTGCTGCTATCACAAATTTGGTATCGAAGGAACATCTACATTCATGAAAATAAATTGCTGCCAGGATGGCACCTTGTTACTTCCAGTAGAGCTTTGCAGACTGGTTATTCAAAGGCAAATCAAAGTTTCACGACAAGGGCTTGCTCTCCCTGTTGGTTAAAACCTCCTGTAGGGACTGTTAAAATGAATGTGGATGGTGATTGTCCTCTTCATCCGGGCTCTCCGGCTATGGGTGTCATTCTTGGGGATTCCGATGGTTTTGTCTTAGCTGGCTAGGCCATTTGCATCGCTGGTTCTCGTAATGTCGCTGGTTTAAAACCTATATGTTGCATGAGCTTCAACAAGGATTACACCATATTTTATTAGTTCTAACATATAGATTATACTAATAAAAATTTAATACATAGATTATAAATTTATTCATATTGATGGTGTGTTATTTTTAGGGATGAACATTTTTTTTTGGATCTAATAAATTTTAATTCGATGTAATTTAATTATGTCATTTTTTATTTTAAAAATTTAAATTTGAGTTAAGTTATTTAGAGTGTCTCAAGTCCAGTTATTAAGGATGACTCGAGTCAAATCAGATTCGAGTTTAGAATTAAAAAAACTCGGCCTAATGTAATATAATATTATCAGTGTCCTTAATATATTTATAAATAATTATAATGATACATTTTTAATATTAGATTTTTTAAAATCAAATGAAACCCGAAAAACGTAATTATTTTGTACAAGTACATTGATAGGGGTACTAAAATAAAATAAAAGCTAAATTTTATATATGATTTTGAAAAAAATTAAAATTTTAGGTACTAAAATGAAATAAGACTGATAATTTAGGTACTAAATGCATAATTTACCCTAAAACATTTTTAGTGAATTATAATGCTTCTTATTTGGACTTCTTTATTCTCCTTATAAATTATGGCGCTTTCTCTACTGCGAAATTGAGAGCAAGATACTGCACTGATATTCGTCTTAAAGCTCATCCTGCATGCAAAGGCACAAAATAGTTTGATCAATTATGCACATATAAATTATGAAAATTGATTACTAAAGAGTAGACAGAAAGGAAAACAACTACTTACATGCGCATCCTTCTCTCTCTCACTACTGTCTTTGCTTGTGTCTGATTTGCTTTCTGAATCGGACTCACTTCCAACACCATCACTATCATCGTCGTTGTCTTCGGCCTGGACAATCCGATAACACAAACGAAAAAATGAAGAGCAAACAAAGCAATTACTAAGACGGCATGTTATATAAGCTTACATCCGAAACTACTGGGTCGTCCTTTTTCTCTGTCTCCTCAAAGGCAGCCTTCTCGGCCTGCAAAAGCCAACCAAATCAAGCAAAAAAGGAATCTAAAAGTCAAAATGAACCCTTCGAAATGCATAGATGAACATACATCCTTGTGCTTGCCCCATATTTCTTCAGCTAGCCTTTTAGCATACTCTACATCGTCAGCAAGTAAGATATTGTCAAACAATGTTCCAGATTTCACCTGACAAAACTAACATTTATCTTGTCATGGTCTAAAATGGGCATGGGATGATGATAGGGTAGTAGTAGAGAAAAAAAGTGGCAAAAGAGTACCTGCCACAATTCGATACCAACGTACTTCAAGTTGGGATAAACATAGAGATCAGGATCGTCCTTGAAATCTGTGGACCATATAAAAACACAGTAATAAATCACTTCAAAATTATGTTCATAAGAAAAAGAAGTAACACACTACGAAATAAATAAAAATGAACCTTTGGCTTCCATGGACCCTTGTACTCTGGGTTGGGAATCGTTGGGGCTGTCCATTCACCATCTTCATCGTCCCAATCTTCAGGCTGGTGTAAATAATTTTAACCATGAACTCTCATTACAATCAAGGCATAACATTTTATAATAAAGACATTCAAGAAGAATTATATGACTACCTTCTTCGCATCTGGATCAGTGATCTCTTTCGGAATGTCATCATAGCCCTATGGTAAATCAAACACTAGAGATTAGCTTGCTTATACATGTAATATAAGAGAATCAAAGGAAGTGTTACATGAGAAGGTTTTTACCTCTGGCTTCTTCTCTTCAGGATCAGCGATGTATTGCCTGTCATCCCAATCTTCAGGCTGCCATCATGCAAGGTACTTTAGTTGTATCCAATATTCATACAACAAAACAAAACAAAAAAGATACTATTTGTGACTAATTACCTTTTTGGCGTCGGGATCCTTGATTCTCTTCGGTGGGAGAAGTTCCCACTCAGTGTACAAGCTAACTTTTCGTTTCTCAACATTATCAACAAGAATGCTAAAGGTAGCGTCTTGATGCAGGGGGATCCGAGACAGATGATGCTGAGCTGTCAGATTACACGTTGATGGCGCTGAGATACCATGAGTTGGCAGATCAGCGCAAAGGCGGGAATTGATTGTGACATGTTCCTCATTGGGGTCGTTTTGAGTATGTTTCAGTCTTTTGGCCATAACTTTGGCTACAGGTGTCAGAATCGCGCATAAGACCCCAATCCGGAAAGCTCTTTTCGACGCGCACGCTTTCCACATTGAGCTACGCTCCATGTGGCCTTTTTTTCAATATCAAATTCTGCCGTTTTCCCCTCCGAATCACTAGATTTAGTTATTTTTTACTATTTATGGTAATATTTCGATTGTTAATTAGGAAGTCAATTTAAATCCGATTTAGGCCGGATTTTTGGGAGATTGCTTATTTTATTTCGAATTTCAATTTAGAGTGATTTTCGGGATTTTGCTATTTTTGGCAAAATTCGAATAAAGACGATTTTTTTTTGCTATTACAGTCCGGCTTGTGGACTGCTTTTTGACAGTTTTGATTTTATAATATTTTATTAAACCCTAGAGACTTTTTCTCTGGTTTTTGGGCGAATTTTCTCTTGTGAATCGTCTGTCGGAGCTAGCCTACAGGATAATCACTATTCTGTCTGGCGTCAGTTGGTGTCAGAGCTTCAACATCTTCTTGGGAAATTTCACCAGTTTCAATGGCTGGAGGTCGTGGTCGTGGTCGTCGTGAGCAGGTTCCGAATGAGGAAGCCCAACGCCGTGATCGCAGCGTTCAGGATGTGATGATTGCGGATTTGCAGAGGCAAGTCGCAGAATTAACCCAGCGCCTGGCGGCGCAGGATTTCGAGGATCGTGAGGCCTCTGATCACGATACCAATTCCACTTTCGAAAACCCATATCACAATCGCGCAGGATTCCGGGGCGCAGGATTCCGGGAGCACCGTGGTCGGGAGGAGCATCATGGAGACCTCGGTTTTCGGGTCGATCTCCTTGAGTTTTCTGGTACATTACAGGCCGAGGGATTCGTGGATTGGATTAATGAAGTGGAGCGTATTTTTTAATATAAGGAAGTCCCCGATCGTGTGAAAGTGAAACTGATCGCCATCAAACTCAAGGGCAGAGCATCTGCGTGGTGGGAACAGTTACGACGTTCACGAGAAAGACAGGGCAAAGCCAAGATCACTGATTGGGAGAAGATGAAAAAGAAGATGAAGGGCCACTTCCTTCCCTTCGGCTACACGCAAACCTTATTTCAGCGACTTCATACGTTGAGGCAGGGCGCGCGATCAGTCGATGATTACACGGAGGAGTTTTACCAATTGGTCGCCCGGAACGATTTATCTGAGACGGAGGAGCAGATGGTGGCGCGATATTTGGGGGGTTTACGTCAGTCCTTGCAAGATGTCCTCAGCCTTCATTCATTGTGGAGTGTTTCGGAAGCATACCAGCGTGCACTTGCTGTTGAAAAACAGCAAAACAGGAGACCAGTGATCAGGAGCGATCACAACAGTCGACCAGTTCGCCCTCAAGAGTCCCGTCCTGCTCAGCAGCCACCGCAGGGTAATTCTAACCCTACTATTAGATGTTTTCGTTGTGGTGAACAAGGGCATAGGGCGACTGATTGCAGGAAGCCTGCTAGTCAAAAGGGCAAAAATTTGTTGATTGAGGAAAACGTGGAAGACGAGACTGAGGAGATTGGTGAACCCGTGTATGACGATGATGAGACTGATGATGTGCTGTATGGAGATGGTCATGAGACTCTGGTCGTTCGCAAGAGTCTACTTACCCCCAAGGGCGATTCAGGGGACGATTGGTTGAGAACCAATATTTTCCACACGACTTGCACAGTTGCAGATAAAGTCTGTAAAATGATCATTGACAGCGACAGTTGTCCAGAAATTGCAATTGAAGACGGACCGTCATCCTAAGCCATACAAGTTGTCATGGCTAAATAAAGACAATGAGGTAACAGTTGATAGGCGATGCCTCGTGTCTTTTTCAATTGGTAGAAAATATTTTGATAATGCCTGGTGTGATGTTGTGTCTATGGATGCGTGTCATATATTGTTGGGTCGACCTTGGCAGTATGATCGCAGTGTCATTCATGATGGACGGAAGAATACATATTCCCTTAGCATCAAGGGAAAAAAGATTGTGTTGGCACCCCGGCGGGAAGGACTTACTCCTACCCCAGTAACCCATAATACTAATCTGCTTTCTATGTCCAAGTTTTTAGATGAGATTGAGCATGGCGGCGTGGTCTATGCCTTGCTACCTTGCGAGAACAATGCAGTAGATGTGGATACAGATTTACTAGTAGAGGTGCAGCGGCTGCTAGCAGAATTCTCTAACTTGATGCCAGAGGATCTTCCTCCTGGACTACCACCTATGAGGGATATTCAGCATCAAATTGACCTTGTTCCTGGGTCAAGTTTGCCAAATCGACCAGCATATCGCCTCAGTCCCAAGGAGGCCGAAGAGTTGCAGCGACAGGTGGAAGAGTTGTTGGAGAGGGGCTATATCCGAGAGAGTATGAGCCCATGTGCAGTCCCTGCTCTGTTAGTGCCAAAGAAAGATGGTTCTTGGCGTATGTGTGTTGACAGCCGAGCGATCAACAGAATTACAGTGAAGTACCGGTTTCCAATTCCCCGTCTAGATGATATGTTGGATCAGCTATCTGGTTCTAAGGTCTTCTCAAAAATTGACCTTAAGAGCGGTTACCACCAAATCAGAATAAGGCCTGGAGATGAGTGGAAGACGGCGTTTAAAACGCCACAAGGGTTGTATGAGTGGATGGTCATGCCTTTTGGGTTATCTAATGCGCCCAGTACATTCATGAGATTTATGCATCAGGTCTTGCGGCCTTTTATGGGGAAATTTGTTGTAGTTTACTTCGATGATATCCTCGTTTATAGTCCGACATGGACTTCACACTTCGATCACCTCCGTGCTGTTTTTGAGATGCTGAAAACGGAGTACTTGTTTGTCAATCAAAAGAAGTGTTCTTTCTTCACTACTTCTGTGACTTTTCTTGGTTTTGTTGTGTCTACTGATGGTGTTCATGTAGATCAGTCAAAGATAGATGCAGTCTTGGAGTGGCCCAGACCAAGAACCTTACATGACATCCGAAGTTTCCATGGCTTGGCGTCTTTTTACCGTCGATTCATTAGAAATTTCAGTACTCTGATCGCCCCTATCACAGAGTGCCTCAAGGGGCGTGATTTCCAGTGGTCTGAGGAGGCAGAGGCCAGTTTTCAACTGGTCAAGCAGAAGATGACCGAGGCTCCAGTTTTGGCACTTCCAGATTTTGACAAAGTGTTCGAGGTAAATTGTGATGCATCTGGCGTTGGCATTGGTGGTGTTCTGAGTCAGGCAGGTCGTCCGGTTGCTTTTTTCAGTGAAAAGCTATCGGGATCAAAGAAAAATTATTCCACTTATGATCTGGAGTTTTATGCCATAGTTCAGTCCCTGAAGCATTGGCGTCACTACCTAGTACAGAAGGAGTTTATTCTGTTTACCGATCATGAGGCCTTGAAGTACATCAATGGCCAACACAAGCTGAGTAGACGTCATGCCAAGTGGGTAGCATACTTGCAAGAATTCACTTTTACGCTGAGGCACCAAGCAGGGAGTTTGAACCGCGTCGCAGATGCCCTGAGCCGTCGTACCTTACTTCTCACCACCATGAGTACTAAAGTTGCAGGATTTGAGACGTTCACAGATATGTATGCAGCTGATCCTTCCTTTGGAAGGATATTTCAGGAGGTAACTGAGGGTCACCGTCATGATTTTGTTTTGCATAATGGGTATCTGTTTCGTGGATTACAATTGTGCATTCCAGATTGTTCATTGAGGCAGCAAATTATAAGTGAACTCCATAATGAGGGACACTTTGGCCGAGATAAGACATTGGCCCTTATCTCTTCTGAATTTTATTGGCCCAAGTTGACTAGTGATGTGGCCCATTATGTGAACCGTTGTTATGTGTGCCAGCGGTCTAAGGGAGTTCTCACCAATGCGGGATTGTACACTCCCTTACCTGTTCCTGAAGCTCCTTGGTTCGATGTCAGCATGGATTTTGTACTAGGCTTACCCCGCACCCAAAGGGCCTCTGATTCTATCTTTGTTGTGGTTGACAGGTTTTCCAAGATGGCTCATTTTGTAGCTTGCAGAAAGACTATGGATGTTGACCGGATTGCCCATCTCTATTTCAAGGAGATTGTGCGTTTACATGGTGTTCCTCGATCCATCACTTCAGATCGTGATACTAAGTTCATCAGTCATTTCTGGAAGAGCCTGTGGGGGAAACTGGGAACGCAGTTGAATTTCAGTAGCGCCTACCACCCCCAGACGGATGGCCAGACTGAGGTGGTGAACCGAAGTTTGGGAAACCTTTTAAGGTGTTTGGCAGGAACGAAGCCGAAGCAGTGGGATTTGGCATTGCCTCAGGCAGAATTTGCCTACAACAGATCAAAAAACAGAACCACAGGTTTAAGCCCATTTGAGATTGTCTATGGTCAGAACCCATCCGGGGTGTTGGACTTAGCCCCTATTCCACGTATAGGACGTTTCAGTCCTAAAGCAGATGAGATGGCAAAGTATCTTCGGGGTATCCATGAGCAGGTGAAACAGACCATTCATGAGAGCAATACCAAGTACAAGACTCGGGTCGACAATCATCGTCGTCAGGTACTTTTTGATGTTGGTGATTTTGTTTGGGCTGTATTAACTCGTGATCGTTTTCCTGTTGGTGAGTATAATAAGCTTAAGGATCGGAAGATTGGACCTTGTGAGGTCGTGCAGAAGATCAATGATAATGCTTACAGGTTGCGACTTCCCAGTCACTTGAAGACTTCTGATGTCTTTAATGTGAAGCACCTGAGTCATTGTTTTGTGGATCCTGATGATACTACTCTGAACTCGAGGACGAGTTCTTTCCAACCCGGGGTGACTGATGCAGGGGGATCCGAGACAGATGATGCTGAGCTGTCAGATTGCACGTTGATGGCGCTGAGATACCATGAGTTGGCATATCAGCGCAAAGGCGGGAATTGATTGTGACATGTTCCTCATTGGGGTCGTTTTGAGTATGTTTCAGTCTTTTGGCCATAACTTTGGCTACAGGTGTCAGAATCGCGCGTAAGACCCCAATCCGGAAAGCTCTTTTCGACGCGCACGCTCTCCACATTGAGCTACGCTCCATGTGGCCTTTTTTTCAATCTCAAATTCTGCCGTTTTCCCCTCCGAATCACTAGATTTAGTTATTTTTTACTATTTATGGTAATATTTCGATTGTTAATTAGGAAGTCAATTTAAATCCGATTTAGGCCGGATTTTTGGGAGATTGCTTATTTTATTTCGAATTTCAATTTAGAGTGATTTTCGGGATTTTACTATTTTTGGCAAAATTCGAATAAAGACGATTTTTTTTTTGCTATAACAGTCCGGCTTGTGGACTGCTTTTTGACAGTTTTGATTTTATAATATTTTATTAAACCCTAGAGACTTTTTCTCTGGTTTTTGGGCGAATTTTCTTTTGTGAATCGTCTGTCGGAGCTAGCCTACAGGATAATCACTATTCTGTCTGGCGTCACGTCTGGACGGAGAATAAATGTGTAAACATGAGTGAGTTGGTCAGTCTCACAGGGAACTTCCTTTTTGATCAGGTGGTTTGTCCCGTTGTAGTGAAGAATAGCATGAGTTCTCTTGATGCTTCCACAGACATCAGGCCCAAACATAATGCTACACCCAACCAACATAACAAAAAATCAGTACGTCTATAATAAACATATTTTAGAGATCACAGGGTAAGAAAATAAAACCTGTATGGGGTTTCACCACCGAATTGCTTCTGGTCAATGTCACCACTAATCAGTTTCATATAGCCACCACCACAATCAATCTTCTGCTCGTGCCTGACAGAAAATTGGAATACTAGAGTCTTGCCCTTGTTGTTAACTGCAAGGAACTTAGCCGAAATAGCGTAGAACCTGTGGTCTGGACTTGTTTGTATACCTGTACAAAATATGAAGCCATTAGTAAAGCTTGAAACTGAGGAGTTAAACGATACCTTCATCAATTCCGAGCTACAAGTATTGTAGAAGGTTACCTTTGTCATTAGGATCGCCATTCCATTTTTCAGCAGTGTAATTCCATTCCCCGGCCAACATCTCATCTTTCTTCCAGTCAGATTTTTCCCACCGACTTTCCCATCCATCTTCAGTTCCACAACAATATACAAAATCAGCCCCCAAAAAAGAGGGGGAAAAAAGTAAAAATTCTGCTGTTTGAAAACAGTGGACCGTACGATTAAAGCTGAAGCAGCTTCTATTTCCCTTGTTAATGATCTGTCATCTAATTTTTCTGCTGCTCATCCCACGTACAAACACACAATCACTCATTCTTTAGTGAATAAATTACATTCTAAATCACTAAATTTAATTCTACTTTAGTTTTTACTACTTTCCTTCCAAATCAACTCTTATATATGACATGATTTGATTGTTTTATTCTGGTAGATAAATTAAAATAATTATTTTTGGAGGTTTTATTAATTTTAAATAACTTCATGTACATCTGAATTTAATGCATTTTGTCGAAGAAAAATGAAAACAAAATAAATAAATGCACCAAATAATGAAATTGCAGGCTAGAAGAGTAAGGAAGAGATTTGTGTGTGAGCACTGAGTAGGCGATGTGGATCAAACCTGTCCACAACGTGAGCAATAAGTCCCTGTTTTAATTAAATTATCTTTAAAAATAATTTTTTCTATAAAAATAATATATATATAAGTGCAAAAAATCAAAAGAAAAAAAGTGGCATGAAAACAACCACATGCATTCTCTTTTTGTTTATCCATTTAATAATAATAACACTAATAATTTATTTGTGCTTCACCTACTAATCATGGTTAGGGGTGGCAACTGAACGGGTAGGGACGGTTTTGCATTATTTGGGGAATCTTAATTATATGTTTTGGGGATTTTTTTTGTCTTCATGCTGATCTCTTACGGATCTTTACGGGTTTCGGTTAATTCTCATTTCAAAAAATAAACAAACATCTTTGAAATCAATACAATACCTAAAACTTGTAAGATATATCATATTATCTCAAATTAATCTCTATCTATAATATGAAAGTTTCAAACGTTAATATTCATATAACACACAATGTATATGTACAATCTTAACCATTTTCAATCTCAACAAATCAATGTATATTAAATAAGAAAATATCTAAACTTCAATTTTAGTTCCTTTAAGATGTAACAGTGGCAATACATAATCTCACAAATATTTTTCGAAGATTCTCATGATTATTTTTGTAAAATTTTGAGGATTCCTATGATTATTTTTTAGGGATCCATACAGTTATTCATGTGATATTTTTTATGTTTAATTAATATTAGGACACATATTTTGTTATTATTAATTTAATTGATGTAACACATATTATATATAATTTTTAGTGACAGATTATGTTATGTGTCACATTATCATTTTAGTGGTACAATAATTATAATATTATCATTTTTTTGTGACACATCATTATTTTTGGTGTTTGGAGATGTAATGTGACATCAATAATTATATATATATATATATATATATATATATATATATATATATATATATTAAATCACTAATATGGGTTGAATATTACCCAACAAACGATAATATAAGTTATTCTAATAGAAAATTAAAATATTAAGAATTAAAATACACTAAAAATATATATAACAATATAATTATTTAAATAAACATTAAAATTAATTTTGTTATTATATCATTATATTAAAAATATCTAAAACATAACTGGGGAGTTTTATTTTTAATGGTTATAAATAAGATTACATAATGACGCCTGAAATATAATAATAAAAAATTATTTTAATAAATAGTAAATTTTTTGACGTTTTTCCTAATAAATCACCGGTGATCGGTATATTTATCGATATAACACCGGTCAGATTATATTTCCCGATCTAACACCCGTAGCAGTAAAGCGCTCCCCCTGAACCGTGTTACACACTGATTTGGTGTCACGTGGGTATAGCGCGCCCCCTACCCCACGATATACGGTGATTTGACATCACGTGGGTATAGCGAGCCCCCTGATCTGCGCTATACCTGGGTATCTGACACGTGGGGTATAGCGCGGTGCAGGGGGCGCGCTATACCCCTAAACACCCGCCCCTCCACATCTCAATCCTCTCTATAAATACCCTCATCCTCAATCACTTTTATCACACCAAATTCTCTAAATTTCTCTCAAATACTCTCTTTTTTTAAGGTATGTTTTATAATATTTTTACTATTATGTATTTAATTTATTTAAGTATTTTATTTTATTTAATATTTTACTAATATAATTCTTTTGCAGATATATAATGGAATACTTCGCTCGGATGTAAATCATATATCTTTACACTTTGCTGATACGGTAACATTTTAACGTTTTAATTTAATTTAAATTATTAGTAATAATTAGTTGATTTATTTAATGTATGATTATTAGATTAAGAATTAAATATCTCGACACTTTGCTGATACGGTAACATTTTACCAAAGTCGCTACAGGTAAGTGACGTGCACCCTTTAAGGTTGAATTGATTGCCTCAGCCAAGTTGGTCGTCATGTGTCCATATCGATATCCACCATCATATGCGTTCGTCCACATTTCTTTATCGATGAGGCTGATATAATCGTATCCTTCCTCATTCTTCGCCCACAAATCTTGAAGCATTGATTCAAACGTTCGAGGAAGTAGTTCGTAACCTGATCAAAAAATGTATAACTTACTAACTTGCTTTCTTTGCAAAATTAAAATGATCAAAATATGTATAACTTACTGACTTGCTTTCACTTACCTATGCGCACAATTAATTGACGCTCATCATTCTTCTTGTACCTTCCATGATAGTTCGCAGCAATGTGTCGGAGACAATACCTATGTTGGACAAAGGGTGGTTGCCACATTGAACCCAAATACTTCATTGCTACTTTGATCCCCGTTCCGCGATCTGAAATGACACAATTTTTTCCCTCGTGATAACATGTGCACGTAAATTTCGAAGGAAAAAAGCCCAAGAATATGTATCTTCTCATTCGACAAGAGCAAAAGCAACTGGAAGAATGTTGCGATTGTCATCTTGGACAACTGCCAATAATAAAACTTGCTTGTATTTTTCATACAAGAAAGTCTCGTCGATCTGAACCATATGCTTGCAGTATTTGACAACATTAACGCACTGTGGGTAACTCCAAAAAAACCCGGTAGAATTGGCTTCGATCGCGAAGAACTCGATCATTATGGTATGCATAAGAGGTTTCGAAGTCCACAATTGTCCCAGGATTCAACGTCTGCACCAGCCTAAACCAACCTGGAAGTTCGTTGTAAGATGCATCTCATTCGCCATGAAGTTTGACAATGGCATTTTGTTTTGCCAACCAAGCTTTTTTATAGGAGACAGTGTACCCATACTGCGATTGTATAGTTGAAATCAACACTGCAACAGCTATATGAGAGCTTGTTTTTACCATGGGCATGATGGCTTGACATATCACTTCAGAGTCCAAGTTGGGATGATCTTGGTTGACCTCTCCAGCACAACATGTGTGAGGACCGTTGTATACTGTTAGTTCTCATATGTTGTTTTTCCTATTCCTTTTCGATACGCGAACCATCTAATTGCATCATTTTTCGTGTCGGGCACAGTAGCATATATATTTTTCAGTCGTGGATCGGTTAACTCTGGACTGAACAGAATTATGGATATTGTAATTTTTTATAGCCATCACCGCTTCTTCTTTGCTTGAGAACTCCATGCCTAAAGATAACTCACCATTATTTATTGATGAGTAATATCCATAGTCACCGAGATGAGGCATATCCGCAAATTCTGGTCCGTACATTGCACCATAATTAGCTTCATACATGTGTGCAAGAGGGTCAGTTTGTGCCACATTTCCTGGAACTTCATCATCATCGGAGTTTAATTGCGGTGATTCTGGGTGAATGAATAGTCCAGTCTCAGCACCATCCGCACCAGGCTCACGAAGCGGTTCTTCTGGTGGAGATGATGGTTCCTCCATGCTCTCCACATTTAGGTCGAAGAACCTACTACTTGCACGCCTTCCCCTTGAACTGGAAGGCATATCGACATTGAGATCGAAAAAGCTCGCAGTCGAATGCCTCCCCCTGGAGCTTGAAGCCATCGTGTCAAATGAAAACTGCACAGATGGTTGCATTGATGGCATCTCCATATGGTCAAAGAAATTTGCAGATGAATGCCTTCCCCTTGAACTGGACGCGGTGTTGCCATACGGATTGTTCGTTGACCCACCTCGGTACATATCGTAAGGAGTTGCGGATGAATCTCTCCCCATTATGGCATTAAAATCATTACACATTACTGTAGTTGGGCTGTCAACTTGATCAACTTGTTCAGCCAGCCCATAGTGTGAGCTTAAAGATTGATCCCGAACAGAACGCACTTAAACAAAATGTGCATACATCTCAATAGCGGCGTCTGAATAATTACTTTGAGCTTCAACCATCATTTGAACATCATCATTGTTCGAAAGTTTGAACGCTGTATAAGTTAATGGCAACAATGATGTTGGAAATTTGTACTGCAACGACGACATTCTTCTACTACTTCCAACATGAATTTTCCTCGAAATCTTCGTTATCAGCTCCTCAAGAGTTATGTTTCCCTTGAATGATATTTTAACACGCTCATTTTGATACGAAAACAACGTCGGTTTCATCTTCTCGAATTTCACCATCTTAATAAACAATAGCTGAAAGTCGTGCCATTCTTTGAGTTTAAAAGTGCGACAATATTATATCTGCAAAAAAAATAACTGAAACAAACCTGATTAAATAAATTATATATGAACGAAAATATAACACAAATTTTTTTTTACACATCAACGTAAATAATTAAAATAATATAATTTTATATTATTACTTGCACCGCAAAACTATTTCGACGTATGCTCCCGCTTTTCAATTTTACAAACATAAAAATTAATTGAAAATAATTAGTATAATATTTTTTTCAAATAATGATAATAAACAATAAATATAATTAAAAAATTATAACAAAATTACTTTATAACAAAAAATCGCACGAACTTCTAAATCAAATATGAGAAGATTGTCATAATTATTACTCGTTGACGGAATTTTTGTATTAATTTATAAGTTGAGATGAGAGATCTGAGGAGTTGTGAGAACCGGAGGAGTATATTTATAAATATATAAGGCGCGGTACCTGCACCACGTTATATGTAATTATTATATAGCGTGGACTAGGGACCGCATTAAATATAATTTTGGTACGGCGTATAGCGCGGCCCCTGATTCGCGCTATACCCCTACGTGGCGTATATCGTAGAGCGGGGGGCACGCTATACTCCACGTGACGTCAAATCAGCATATAACGCGATTCAGAGGCGCGCTTTACTGCTACGGGTGTTAGATCGAAAAATATAATCTGACCTGTATTAAATCGATAAATATACCGATCATCGATAATTTTTTTTTAAAGAAAAACATCAAATTTTATGCCCTCATTTTTGTTAAAATAAATAAATTATATATTTAATAAAATAAACAAGAAAGAGAGACAACACAGAACCTGGAACCCGCGTGTATTTTTTTTGGGAGGGGGTGAATCGATTTTATAAAGTCATTCCAAGCCCCTAATTCGGTAACGCCGTGTTTCTTTTTCCTCTCTAATTTCCACTCATTTCATTTCCTCTCCACTCCTTTCTGCAATTATTCCCGACTTTCCATGGCTTCCTGCATACCTAGCCTCGAACCCGCCCCCGACACGTGTCCCGAGTTCAAACGGCGGAAACGAAGGATACCAGACCAGAGGCTTGCCTCTTCTCATTCTCATCAACGTAACCAAAGAATTAAGCGATGGCGAACACAACGCGAGCAACACATCTACTCCTCCAAGCTCATCCAGGCCCTCCGCCGTTCTCGTCTGACCTCAACTTCCTCCTCCACCGTACAGGAAGTTCACGATACGGCTGACAGAGTCCTCGCCGTTTTGGCCAAAGGAACCACGCGTTGGAGCAGAGCGATCCTCACCGCTCGCAAGATGTCCAGACAAAAGAAGGCCAAGGCCGCCGCCAATACGAGGTTGAGGAAGCCGGCGTTTAACATGGAGAAGAGAAAAACGCCTGTCATTCAGAGGAAGTTGAAGGTTTTGGGACGTCTGGTTCCCGGCTGCCGGAAATTATCGTTCTCGAACCTCATAGAGGAAACCAGCGATTACATAGCGGCCCTGGAGATGCAAGTTCGAGCCATGACGGCTATCACCGAGTTTCTCGCCGGCTATGGACCGCAGCGGGCGGCGGACCGGCTTGCGTCGAATGCCAACTCTTGAAAAGATGTTCATTTGTGATTATTATTATTTTCGGAAACTGTTTTTGGTGAGATTCTCAAATTCCTGTATTTTATTGTGTGTACATGACCTTTTTCTCCCTTTCTATTTTATTGTGTATACATGACATTTTCCCCCCTTTCTTTTGAGCTCCTCCACTAGATGTTTATTTCATTATATTTATTATTATTCTTTGGTTTTTTAATGCTGAGCAAAGCACCAGTCAATTAATGGATTAATAATAAAATAGAACATACCATACCCACGCCACCTACTTCTTTGTTTTAGTGGAATAATTGAAGCCTAACCAATCACTTCTTTGGCACACATGTTGGTTTAATTCTTTGGAGTGGAACCAAAGGAACTTCAAAATTGTGTCGGCAAATGATCTAGTTTGCGACAACGATTTGTCAGATGGATGTAAAGTTTAAATGCGATAGATATTTGTAAGATATGAACCCTAATTAATAACAGATTCAATTTGAATTCATTTAGTTCCTTTCATTTTTCATGTGGCAATGTATTTGCATAAATATGAACATAGGATAGGCGTAATGCGAGGTGTTTTTATGAGCGAAACATCCTCACAACATGTGCCCTTGATTAAGTAGCCCTTGCCTTGACAGTCGCAGCGCATGTGCCTCCGTGGCCCTACATTTTGAAGTGCATCCACTCCCCCTAGCCCCACCCCTCAATTGGCTTGCATGTGCCGGGGCCCCATCCCCCTCCTCCCTCCTTTAACCCCTTGAAAATGTAAAAAAAAAAAAAAAAAAAAAAAAAAATTGTTCCTCTTTTTCTTTTTTGGTTTAATATATGTGAATGGGCCTCTTAAAAACCCGTTTTATCACCTCTAGCTCTAGTTATCTCCTCAGCTTCCTTAGGGTAAATGTGCATAAAAATAGAATTTTCTCGTTGGTTCCTCATTTGCTTGGCGATGATGTCTGTGACTCGGTTGGCCTCCCTCGGTATGTTATGAATCTTTACTTCCCAATTCCTTTTGAGCAGATTGTCTATGTGTTGAAGTATTGTTAGTTGTCTGTGTTCGGTCGATCTATTGTTTATCAGTTTTACTGCTTCCTTGTTATCCGATTCCAGTATAACTTTTCTTTCTCCTTTTATCCATGTCATTTTTAAACCTTCATGAATTCCCCAGAGTTCTGCTTCCAATAAGAAACAAATACCTATTTTCCTGCCAAATCCCCAGAGCCAATTACCTTCGTAGTCTCTAGCTATTATTCCACATACTGCATCTCCATCATTCTGGTTTCTTTTTCCATCAGTGTTTATTTTACAGTAGCTAATCTCTGGTTTTTTCCATCCATATTGGACATTCTTCTTGGTTTGATTAATCTCAGTCTTTAGGGTTTTCGAATTTTCAACCTCTTGAGTAAGTCTCAAGGCTTATTGGATGATTGAATCTCTCTCAACCATTTCAAAGTCGAAAACTACCTGATTTCTTCTTTTCCAGATTAACCAAATAACAGAGCTGAACAAAATCGGCCAATTCTCAGTTCTAGTATTTGGGGTTTAGGGTTTAGAGTTTAGGGTTTAAAGTTTAGGGATAAAAATTTTGGACTAAAAAACACAGAACCTACGATCGAATATTTTTGAAGTCATATGAAAAATATCAATAATTAGAACTTTGCTACAACTGTAAAGCTTATCTCATTTTTTTTGTTTAACTCTACTTTACGAGAAAATACCTCTTTTTAAAAATTTGCACAGAACCTCAACCTGACCATGACAATTACCTCAAGTAATCGGCGCCCCTGTGTCTTTGATCATTAGCACCCCTTTTATCCTCCTCCATAATTAAAACCCTAAACAAGATGCTGTCTTGTCAGTCCCTTCATTCTCCTTGCACACTAAGGAATTGATGGATCGGGATTTCTCCAACGTTACCTTTATTCAGGTGATTACATTTTGGTACATATATGTATACACTCAATGGAGCCCTAAACTTCCTACTTTTCTCCTTTTGCTGCCAATTGTTTCCAGTTCCAAAAGGAGATCACGTTAGCTCAATATGTCTAGGGTTTGTTCTATTTATTTTGGGGTTTGCTTGAAGGTGGTAGATTTTGTGGTGGGTGTACATGACGCTGACCCAACTTGCATTGCATGAGACAGGTGAGAGAGCCTGAGCGAGGCCCCCACTCTTTTGGAACCATATTTATTATATATATGAATTTATTATTTGAATTCTTGTTTGTTATGCTTCTTGAAAACAATGATGTTATTAGGATATGATCGATATTATGGATCTACGAAATATTTTATGTTAGGAGTAATTTTAGGTATATAAAAATATAAATATAAATATAAATATAAAATTAGATTATCAATAAAAATAAAAATATATTTAAATTAAAGAAGAATTTATAATTTTTATAAAATGTGATCATCTACTGTTCGATATTCTCTCAATCCATCCTACTTGATATATAATATATGAATATGAGTGCGTGCGTGCGTGTAGATATGGGTGGAGCTACAAAAGAAAACAAAGGAAGAAACAAAGGGCAGGAGGAGGTCAGGTGAGCAGATGGCGGGGCAAAGAAATTTCATTATCTCGACCTCTTGTTTTCTTTCCCTTGTTAAAAGTTTGTGACACCTATGTCCTTCCAGCGTGGCATGCCACATTTCACTTTCTTTGGTGGTGCCCTGATGGTGACGTTGTACATGTATAGTTATGCCACGTGTCTCCTACTGTCATGTCAGCAAACCAGATTTATATGCTACTAGCTCTTTTCGTTGGATCAACCACCGTACGTTCTCTTTCTCCCACTGCATTATTATGCATGTGAACGGCTATGGCTGTGCATACGACAACCGCCAAACCCAATCCCACCCTTCATTTTATTTCTCACAATTATTTCTTATCATTAGCCTCAAAGCTCTATCATCATTATATGTGAACTTAGCTATAAAAGATAATATATTTTTTAAAAGATATAAATTCGATTAGTTATGTTTATAAAATATATCTAAATTATCAATACTAACTAAAAACAATTTTCACAGATACTGTCTATATAAATATAAAATTTTATTTACATATATAATTGTACATACACAAATTGATATGTTATTTAACACCTAATCTAATGTCTTGGTTGTTGAAAAAATAAGAATAATACAATAATTATATCTTGAGATTACAAATAAACTGTTTCGAAGTTTGAGATTAGTTTACGATTTATGTTAGTTCAAAGGCTTTTGATGCAATTAACGCAAATTGCTTCATTGGCTTGGATCAACAGGCTTTGAAGTTGAAACATGGAATTCCTTGCTTTGTATCTCGACTTCATCATGTTAAAAAGGGTTTTAACAAACAAAGACGGTGGGAGCAATAAATGACGAAACAAGAGATCGCTTTTGAGTTGTCAAGGGGCCCAACCGCCATAAGTATTAGGGGAGGGGGCCCAACAAAGAGGGTTTGGGGGCCCTAAAAACCAAGGGTGGGAAGGAAGAGGACAAAATGTATATCAAACAAACAGGAGAGGGACGGGTGGGTTCCTTGGCAGTTTGGCCACATGTTGGGAGTTAAAAAGGGGCGGTGGCGTGTTATTAGCTGCACAATAAATGAAAGTCGCACACAACCATTGTCCTAATTAATTATGACTCTTTTATCTTGTGACAAAAGATAGTTTGGACTCTCTCACGTTTCAACCGTTTCAACATCTGATAAGCATGTACTGGGGACATCTTCCCACACGTGGATGGATCCTTAGTGGCTTCGATTGTGACCCTTCATCCTTTGCGAAGGCCATAAGAGCTGCCTATGAAAAAACAGGCACATATCCCGTATCAAAAACAAAAGTGATCGGAACGTAACTTTTTAAAAATCGGTGACCAAAAATAAGACAAACTGGAAACAAATGGGATCACTAATGAATTTACCCTTATTTTTATTGTTGAGGCATCTTTACTGCAACTGGCAGCAAATTAGAGTAACTACATATAACTAGTTATGGAAGAATGGACTTTCTTTGGCAATGACATACACAAGGTCGTGGATACTGATGAAGTACTCAAATGAGCGTCGGACTGTATATTAGTTTCTCCGGGGCAGCCGTACTATAATCGACGGTAGACATCTCTTAAGAAACTAGAGTTGCAAACTGCAATTAAATACTCAGAAATTTGATTAAAACACCGATTTTCGGTACTCATTCTCGAGGCAGAAAGGAAAAAAAAGAAAGGGCTCTAGCAGCAACATCTTTGTATAGCTCCCAATTAGGCCTTGGATGGTTCAGCCCTCGGCCTCCACAAACCCAACCTATATTTGTGTGTATATTTCAGTATCAGCTTTCTCTGCAAGACCGAAATAAAAATCCATGAGTTGTTAACTCAATCTCAGTAGAAACGAAATGACAATTCTACAAATATATGTACATAAATAGCAAAGTTTTTTACACCCTAAAAAACAAAACACTTTCATAGGACAACGAGCGCGCATAGGCATCGCGGATAAAACTACCACAATACAGCAAAATTGCGTGTAACGCTAATTCAACTCGGCAGATATCAAGACTATATGCCGACATTCTACTCTGTATAACAATCAGATAATTAGTAATCATAGCTGATGGATCTAACCCATTAGGTTGAGTATAAACCAGTGCATTGTGTAGACACTAATTTCTCACCGAAGACTCCCACAGCCGCACGCCGTATGATTCTCAACCAAACGCAGTCAACGCCGTTTTTCTCGGCACCAAGTAACACCGTGGAGTTAGAGGACACAACAAACAACAAAAATCAAGAGTTTTAGTTCGGTTGGGACTCAAAAATTCGAACTAAAAATAACAAAATCATGTGCTATAAATGGGTGGAAGAACACGATAAGAGGGGACTACTTTGGGAAGCCAGAGAGATACCAAAATTCAAACCCTTTCGGAAAATATAAATTAAGAGAGAAGAAAGAAGAGAAGTTACCTCGTTCTCCATTGGAATCGGGGCCACCGACGCTATTTCATCGGACTAGAAATCGTTCGTTTTTTTCGAAGAGGCAGAGGAAGAGAGATAGTCGAGATCGGAGTTCGATCGGCTTGTATTCATCGCCGATTTACGACAACGATGGCTTCCTTCTCTATTTGCGCCGCAATGAGGAAAGCAAAAGGAGAG